CTGTTTGGCCGCTAGTGCTCTAAGTTTAAGTGAGATGTTAGGAAAGACCCTGGTCCTATTGCTGTTGTGAAGAATTCTACTTACCTAATTGCCTTCTTCCTCTTCATGCCTCCCTCCACTCTCCTCCCACTCCTCAGCCCTGGGTCTCTTATAAGTACCATTTCCCCTGCATTGGCCTACAGCTGCACACCTTGCCTTGATCACTAGGGAGGTAGCCTGGGTGCTCATCTTATCAGATTCACTGGTCAGTCACTGATATTTCATGCAGAAGCAGATGTTGGGTTTTCATTAATTATTTGTCCCTTATTTCTTTTCTCATAAGAGAAACAGTAACATTTTCTTCCTTCTAATTGAGAGTGCTCAAGATTCTTGAAGCCTTTAGAGGCAGCAGAAAAACCTCCCTAGCCGTCACTGGAGTGAGCCATTTTAACTTCCCACAAGGAGTTCTGTTGTCACTAACAATTATCTTCTCTGTGGCCTCAGCGTGTCACAGACTTCAGTCACTAAAAGAAGGCTGAGATACAAATTAAGCTATGTCACAGCATGTTGTGTTGCATAAACAGACAGAGTATTTAGGGGGCCTGAAAGGTGGAAGCATTCTTGTTACCTAGAGGACTGGGGGGGAAAGTGGGGTAATGAGAATTTTTTTTTGCATTTTTTTGCATATTTATTCATTGTTTTTAGAATAAGTCAACCTTGACCTTGCTTGTATTTAGGCTTAAATAGCCATGGGCACTGGGAACACCACTAAGGGGAAGAATGAAGCACACAGATGTCTGTGAGCCAGGTTTTAACCAGGAGGAGAGAAGATATGTAATAACCTCTGGGGAAAAGCGATTGACTTTTCTGCCTTGCTGGCTGTGCTGTTTTACCATCTATTGCTGTGATAAAACACTGACCCAAACCAGCCTGAGGTGGAAAGTGTTTATTACATCAAGAGAAGTCAGGGCAGGAGCTGGGACAGGAGACTGGAGGCAGGAACTGGCACAGAAACCACAAAGGAACACTCCTTACTCTCTATGGCTTGCTCAGCTTGCCTTTTTAAAACAACCCGGGACCACTCAGGAGTGGCACCAACCCACTGACATGCTCAAAGGCCAACCTGATGGAGGTCATTCTTCAACTGAGAGTCCCTCTCCCCAGGTGACTCTAGTTTGTGTCATGTTGACAAAAGCTAAGCTGCACTGAGAATGGTGTTTGTGTAGCGACATTGTAAAGTTGCAGAGAGGAGAACATGGGGCAAGAGGGCCAGGCAGGACTTCCTCTAAGCATTGGCCTCGAATGCTTTCTTCAAATACATGGGTATAGAAGACGCTGGGTCCAGGGAGGGGTGACTTGGGAGGAGAATCACCATAGGAAATGTCAGTCTTGTTAACCCCACTTTTCCCTTGTTGACTGGTAACCAGTACTATGGCCTTTCTTCTGTTCGCATGTCTGTCTTTCTCCACAAACTACCTTAACTTCAGATCGTCTCTGATGCCCCTTTTTATCCAGCTTACAAATAACATTCAGGAGGAATATAGCACAGGTCTTTTACTGTTCTATCCTGTACACTGTACAGCCTTTGATCCTTTTTTCTAACTTAGTTTCTACTTTATGTTTTCACTTTCCCAGCTCACCAAGTTGAAATGTTTAAACATTTCCCCCTCCAGTAGCCAAAGAGAAAACAGAGTGACAGCTAATACAGTAATAAATTTATCTATAGCCACAGGAGATAAGCTTCAGTGCAATGTGGCCATAAAGTATAGCTATCCCAGGCTTGGAGAAAATGCAATGATGTTCCATAAATAAGAGAATTTTAAAATAATCCCAGCAGTAAATAAAGATAAGCTATAAGTCATAACTAGCATCATACAGCCAGCAACAGAGCTCCTTTCCACTCAAGGACACTGTGAACTAAAAAGGGAATTAGCAGCTTGGTGTTGGTGTCACCTCGCACCCTAGGTGGGTTGCTGAGAATTCACCCCTCCTGAAAGTTTGCCTCTTACATCTCCTGACACCTCTTGATTTGCTGACAGCCTTTGATAAGTCACCAAGGAAACACAGAGGTACTGATGCCACAAATAAAAGAGTTTTCAGCCAATTTGAAGGTGTCAGAGAAGACCTTAGAAAAGGAAAGTAGGGCTCAGGGGCCGCTCCCACAATCTGGGGAGCATGGACATTCCACAATGCTGGGAATGATTTCTTCTTGATTCACAGCCCAAAGAAATCTGAAGTCTTTCTGGGGTCCTTTGTAGATTTTGTTTAGATTTTCAGTTCAGGTGTCACTTGAGCAACACACACAACACAACACAACACACACACACACACACACACACACACACACAAACACTGGCTGTTTATCTTTATTTGAAATTCTATTGTCTGTCGCGTGCGTGCGTGCGTGCGTGCGTGCGTGCGTGCGTGCGTGCGTGCGTGCGTGCGTGTGTGTGTGTGTGTGTTTAATAAATGCACTGTTGCCAATGGAATGCTGTCATTATTTATTTATCACCGCTGTCATTAAATAAGATGTATTTCTGAGTGTGTAATATTGTAGGCTCTATACATGTTGTGGCCAGGGGTTCAGCCCCGGACACTTCCCAGAAGGAGTTGAGAGCTTTGTTAACATAGGCTTACCTGCCCTGGGCAGCATGAGAGCCTGCTAGGTCAGCTTGCTCTGTCAGGAAAGACACTGTGGGGAGAGATACTCGCAAGAGTCAAGCCTATGGAAGGAGCTCTGGGGAAAGCTCCTCAGGCTCCAACTATGGGAAGGTTCGATACCATGTAAGGGTTAGACTTTAGTGGGTCTATCTCTGGAAGCCCTGGAAAGATAGGAGAGCAAGAAGAGACCTGGTTTGTGCTTTACCTCTGTTTTATAAGCAGGTGAGATGAAGAGCAGCAAAGGCTCCTGGGAAACAACAGAAAGAATGCTGTGGACTTGCACTTGCTCCTTGTGCTACTTACTTCGGGGAGCTTCTGGCCTTTGGCTACTTTCTCATGGAGTGTGCAGAGAAAGACCAGCCAGAGCAGAAACTTAAATCTGAGCTGATGTTACTTTGTAAATGTATTCTTGAGCAAGGAACTTGAACGGTCTGTCTTAACACTGACACAAGAGTAGTAGCTATACTCAGAGCTTAAATGTCTCCTTTAAACACAAAGCCCTTAAAACTGTCCAGAGTGCAACACATGCTAGGTATTTTATTCTTATTTATATTTTTCACACGTTTATTGGTTTATTTATCCACCTAATCTCTATGAATTTTCTCTTAAAACAATCTGAAATAATATGTCGTTAATACATTTTACTGGCAGAATTTTATAGACTTTTATGCTTCTTTTTCTTAAGTCCTTTTGGACCAAATACTTGCTCCCTGATATAAAGTGCAACAATTATATTGGAAGATTTTACTTCTGGGAATGTTAGGCAGTCTTACTCTATACTATGACATGTTTGTCATCCAGATAAATAGATACTAAAATGCTAGGATACAATGTGAGCTGCATTTGAATACAAATACAAAAATACCTTCAAATATCGCTGATGTGAAATTTTAATCTCCTTATTGCTTCCCTCACAATGAAATAACTATGGAATGACTGGGACACACCCTTAAATTAGAGGAATAAAGTTATCAATTACTTTCCTCGTTCCTGTGTCCAAATACCCAATTAGAGAGCTTGAGATGAGAAACAGTTCATTTTGTTCAAAGTTTCCCGAGTTCAGTTCATTCTAAAGGACCAGCACAGTGGGCAGGAAGCAGAGAAAAGCAGATATTGGAACAGACCCAGATAAGACAGCACCCAGGCTCCACAGCTGGTGCCACCTCCTTCACTTTGTCACATCCCAGCAACGCCATCATACTATCAACCTGTCAAGGCATGAATCTGTTTATTAGTTCAGAGGGCTCATGATCCGATTGTCTCGGGAAACCCAGCCACAGCCACACTCGGGTGTTGCTTAGTGTAACAGTGTTGACAATCAAAATAAACCATCACAAGTAACTCTGTTTTGAATATAATGAACACAAAGTATTCTATAAGCATATTATGTCTGGCTCTATTTTATTATATAAATAATTGTAGATTTAGCACTCATGCCAAAACTTTAATTTCTGTTTCCCTGTGTAGAATGAGTGCTGTGTTTCTTCAGTCCCAGGGCTCTTTAGAACAGGAACTGGACAGATCCATTATGTTGCAAGAAGAGTCTTTAAAGTTTGGGGAAGAAAACCGGGTATAGGAAATGATGATTTTATGTAGGGAGGGGGTTGTTGGTGTTGTTTACTGTTTCCCTTTAAGGAGCTGAGCAAGTGGTCCTTGAAGAAGGACACATGCACCTGTTCCTATGCAGTTTAAATGAGTAAAGCTTTCCCTGATGCTGCAGGTTTTTACTCTGCCTAAAAGTGAACTTTTGGTTGACGGAAGTGTTCTTGGTATTGGATCCGTCACAATTGCCAAGCTGCATGTCTGCATCCCCCCACTATAATACAGCATCATGAATCTGTGATTGAAGCCACAAAAGCCAATTCTTGAGGTTACAGAAGATTACAAACCCTGTATTTCCTCCTCCAAGGTTCCTGGACATTAAATTTCAATAGCACTGAGTATTCTCTAAAGAACACTCATAAATTATTTAAATCATATTCCCCAACTTTTTCCCTTGGTTCACGGCAAACCAATTTCGACTAGTTCATAAATTAGATCAGTGTTGTTCTTTTTCTTAAGAAGAGAATTTTCTGAAAATGTGTTTGTTAGAGTAATGAATGGCAGTCATGGAGGACTAAGCAGGCTGTGGTCCAGTCCCTGCCCTGCTGTGGACAGGTATATAACTTCCACAGGGTTTAACTGATAACTTTGCTGGTTCCCTTCTAGAGGAGCTCTTGTGAGAACTGAATGAAGGTTTGTGAAAGTAATTTGAAAGATTTTTTTTTTAAAGCACAAAAAATAACTTAGTGACTAAATGTCTGAAGACATTGTAGTAGAAGAAATGGAATGAATGTTGACGGCCTTGGTTGATGTTTCAGGGAACCAGGGAAACTCTCAGTCGGCACTGCACCACCCTTGGAGATGCCCTTCGGAAGGAAAACGATTTTGCTCTTATAATCGATGGGAAAACCCTCAAATATGCCTTAACCTTCGGAGTCCGGCAATATTTCCTGGACTTAGCTTTGTCCTGCAAAGCTGTCATTTGCTGCAGGTAAGTCCTCCCCAACATTGTCCAATTGCAACAAAAGTGACTTTCTCTTAATGGTATCGTTTAATGATTTTATTTTAATTACGTGTATATGTGAGGGCAAGTATGTGCACATGTGTGCAGGTACCCAGAGAGACCACAGTTACTAGATCGTCCTGAAGCTGGAATTACAGACAGTTGGGTGCTAAAAACAGAGAACTTGGGTCTCTAGAAGAGATTGATAATGCCTCATAGCTGCTGAGCTCTCTCTCCAGCCCTACTTTACGTTTTTAATTTTTAGAAGTTCCAAACTTTTTTTTTAATCTAGAAATTACAAATGTTAGGCTATTCATTCATTCACTAGAGTCCCAAAGTTCACAAGCTGAGATGGATTTGTTAGCAGAGACTTTAAAAGTGAGTCCTAACAATCAGTATCAAATGCTATTCATAATTTGAAGCCACCAGCTCTTTGCCATTTATCAGTATATAAAGTCAGTCAATGGCAATCAGGTAGGTGTTGCATGCCAATAATCCCAGCTACTTAAGAGGCAAAAGCCAAAATGTATCGAGCTTATGGTCTGCTTGGGCAATTTAGGGAGATTACATACATACATAAATGCATACATACATACATACATACATACATACATATATATATATATATATATATATATAAGCAAAGAAACTCCAGAGGGCTATGAATGTAGCTCACTGGGTTTTGCCTAACATGTGCAGCACTCTGGGTTCAAACCCCTGTACTAAAAGAAAGTCACAGAACCAGAGCTCCTAGCCTTAGCTTTGAACTTCATAACCAAAGGAGCGGGTGTGAATTATTTATCTGTATTTCAATCTTGGTTCACTTATGGAACAACCCTGTTGTCTCTGTTTAGATGGCTGATCCAACTGCTAAAATTTATTTTGTGGGGATAGCATGTTGGGAGGTACAAACTGAGTCATTCTCCAAATAGCTGAATATTTTTCTGATGGCTGTTTATTTGCTCTAAGCCTCTGGCCTACTAACTTATAAAATTGCTCATATCGTAGGTTTAAATCTGTCTTTGTGTTACAATGGCCTAATGCATAAAAGTGCCTTTATGTACACCACTTAGCTCTAGCCTGTCTGGCTTTCTCGTCGGAGATATTCTGTCTTCCTCAAATTTAAAGTACTCCATAGCATTCTCTTGGAGGTTACCTCAGCTAGGGATTTTCCTCTGTCATCCACTGACTGAATCTGACCAGCCGGTCACCATGGATTCAGAGCCAGCCGGTACTTTCACAACTCACTTTCTCTTCTAGGGAGCAAAACATGAGCGGGGCTTCTCGGGAATTTCTTCACAGCCTGTATTAGCTTTCTTTTATTTGCCCTAACTACCTTTAAAAGCTCTATCTACTAGTAAAGAAAAGTTATTCCTTTTAAACCATATTTGTCTCAGCTTATCTACTTAAGATGTATGTCTTGAATTTCAATTGAAATTTACTTCCTGGAGTGTATACAAACCACACCCTGTAAGAATAACATAAAAACGTCATTTTGACCTACAAAATTGTATCATCCTCAGAGATAATGCCCGTTATCTTCAGCCATCTAACTATTTTAGCCATAGAATCTGTTCTTCTCTGTGGGATGTTACTAATATGGCTGAGATTCTAGAGTGATTTATTATGTAGATGTTTTAATGTTCATAACAGTCCTGTTTTTTATCACAAACATGGAAATAATCATCTACTCTTGTTTTTGCTTGGGCATCTTCATGCTTTTTAAAATCTGGGGCTACGGTAACTTTTCTTGGTTTCTTGCTGATGCCTTAACAGGGGCTTACCAATGTTCAGCTCTCACACTCTTCCATCAGGATAATTTTGTGCTACATTTAGCCATTTAGTCACTTTCACTAATGGGATCATGAGGATCTACAGGCGATTGCTCAAAAGCCCATGAGTGTCATGAGTGCTGGCTCCTATTCGGAAACAGAATGCAGACCAGAAAACAGTGATGGTTAGACAAAGCGGCCAGTTGGCTTGAGCTAGTGGCAGTCCACTGTGTGCTGGGCAGGGGTATTGCACTTAGCAGGACAAGTATGACTTGTTACCTGCTCTCCTTGCTGTCTCCATCCACTCTACTCTAAGCAGAACCAGTTGGTCTGAAAGGTGCAGGAGGCCAGTTTTCAGGATGCAGTCATGGCAGCAGAACTTAGCACAGTACCTCCCGCCATTCTTCAAAAAGATCATCCACAGAATTCAACAATAGGAGAGGAACACTAGACAGCAGGGTCAAGGGAGAAGAAATATGTTCTGTGCTTGTGAAATTCTCCCTGAAGATCCTTGTCGCTGAGGATTATAAGTCATATGGACCCAGAGCTCTTCCAGACCAGGGATCCTGGGCGGGACTCACCCTGCTGTGTCCATGCAACTCGGTGCTGACACTGAGTTTATAAAGACGTGTGTGGCTGCTTCCTCCCTCCTTGGCCACCTCTGTTTTATGGATGTTTGGGGGCCTTGAATGGCAGACACTTGATTCTATTCAGGATTTTGTTGTTGTTTTAATAAAATATCTTTCTTCAGCTTTTTCTTTTTCTAATTACCTTCATACTCATTTCCCTAAAGAGAAGCTTCTGGCCTGGCTCTGCAGCTGGTCTAAACCCATAATTACATCTGTGCCACAGCTGGATTAGTGTCTGTGCACCTTCTTGGCCTGATGCCTCTTCACATTTAAACCGCTGGCACGGACCATGTTTTTCTCATTCCTCGTACTGACCTCTGAGTGTAACGATGGTGCTCCTATCACAAGTTGGGAATGTGGACTGAGCCTGGGTCGCGCCACTCCTCATTTCTCCCATGACGATCTCCAGCCTCAGGAAACTCTAGATTCTATTCCATTAGAAGAGGAATGCTCCGATAAATATTGACTATTATTTCAAAATACTGTGTAATACTGTTTCCCAAGTATCTTCATGTCATGCTAACCCTTTGAGGTTTTCCCTCAAATTGAGACTCCTTTCCAACCTACTGCTGGTCGGTCCACACACATAAAGAAAATTCAGAGTACGACCATCCTCTACCATCCCCCGGAGCCTTGAGGGAAGCCTTCCCGGAACAGATAATGAGTGTCTGATTCACTCCATCTTCAGGGTTCTGTCAGCTCTCTTCTGACATCAGCACCCAGGGAAGAAAGAGTTTTTAGCATTTGCCTAATTGCCACAGTTACAAAGATGAGCTCTTTGCCCCCAGAGCCTCCTGCTAAATTGAAAGAAGCTGCTGGCCTCTGTCAGAGTCATTACATCTCTCACCCACCACTGTTTTCTTAGGGGAACTATTCGCAGAGAGAACTAATCCCCCAACCCAAAATTATGCAAGGCATTTGGGTCCGGGTTTTGGTTTGCAGAATATGGGCTACATGTTGTACCTTGAGGAAAAAAATACTATATATATATATATATATATATATATATATATATATATGGATAT